TCAGTTATATACGTATATACATATATGTGTGTGTATATGTATGTCTGTGTGCGCTCAGTAGTGTCTGACTCTTTGCGACTCCATGGACTATAGCCTGCCAGGTTCCTCTGTTCATGGAATTTTCCGTGCAAGATTATTGGAGAGGGTTGCCTCCAGGGGATCTTCCCAACCCAGGGATTGAACCTATGTCTCTTGAATTTCCTGAATTGGCAGGCAGATTCTTTACCACTGTGCCACCTGGGAAGCCCATATATATGTACACACACACATAGACACACACACACACACATATACAAACACATACACACACATATACACATACTTATTTTTTCAGTTTCTTTTCTGTTACAGGTTATTATAGAATATTGAATATAGTTCCCTGTGCTATATAGGAGTTGATTCTCTATTTTATAGATAGTTGTGTATATCTGCCAATCCCAAACTCCTGATTTATCCCTCCCTCACACCCCCTTTCCTCTTTGGTAACCACTAGTTTGTTCTCTGTTTCTGTTTTGTAGATAAGTTCATTTGTCTCATACTTTAGATTCCACATATAAGTGATATCATATGGTATTTTTGCCCTGTATTTTGAATTCTGTTCTCGACCAGTACTGTCCACTGGAACTGTCAGTGATGATGTAGTTGTTCTGTTTTACACTATCTAATATGGCAGGCACTAGCTACATGTGGTTTGGGGGTATTTGAAATGTGGCTAGTGTCACTGAGGAACTAAATTTCTAATTTTATTGAATTTAATTTAAATTTAAATAAAAATATGTCTTGTGTGACTTCTGAGTTGGACAGAGCAGCTCCAGCCAATATTGGGGCACAGAATGAAGATGTTAAAACTAATTCAGGGACTTCCAAGTGGAATATCAGATTTCAGAGGAAAGGGATCTCAGATAAATAATACTACAACATTATTGAAGCAAGGAAGAAGCCCCTATTTTTGTTGGTCAAAGCAAGTCATGTGGTCACATTTAAGGTCCACAGCAGCAGGAAGTGTAACCCTTCCATAGATCAAAGTCAAGGATATAAGAAGTGGAATGTTCTTTCTTTCTCTTCCCCTTCCTTCTTGTCCTTGTCCACCTTCTCTTCCTTTCTTCCCTCCTCCCTCACCTTCCTCCTCCTTCCCCTCCCCTGCCTTGCTCTCTCCTTCCTCTCTCCTCCTCCCCATTGTTATCTTCTTCTTCAAATGCACTTAATTGAAACGTTCAGTCCATTCTTCAGGTGGTAGAAATGAAATTTCAGGTAATTTGGGGCTTCTTCATTCCACACCTCAGCCATTGCTGCCTTCTCCTTATCTTTGTTGCCAACAGCATCATGTCAAGCTCTTTTGGTACCTTTGTAGGCCCTCCAAGCACCCACATTCACTGCACGTGGCACTGTGAAAACACTCCAGGTCTTCCACGTGGAGGGCATCTGTGACCTTTGCTATATGACTCGTAGCTATATAATCTACCTGTCTCCGACCTGCCTGGACTCTACTTAAATTGTGACCCTGGGAAGGGCACAGGACAAGTCGCTTTCTTAGAGATTCCTTCTGTAGTAGTCAGTTTAGACTCAGTGACGCTGCAGTAACAAACAGCCCACTAACCTCTGACTTACAACAACAAAGGTATTGTTTTATCACTCCAAGTGGATCACCATGACTCTGGTCCACAGCAGCCCCCAACTGCTCATTGCTGGTCTCATGGCAGAGTGAAGAAAGAAGGGGGTGGATTACAAAATGATTCTTAGAGCTTCTACTTTGATGTAACATAAACCACCTCTGTGCATATTCTATGTCCCAGGAAAAAAAATCACGTGATTGATCTTGACCTCAAAGAGAAGAGGAAGTAAAATCCCTTCCTATGGAGATAGGCAGTGAAATTTTTGAACGACAATAAAATCAGCACATTCATCATCTACTTTTCCTCTCCCTGTCTCCTTTCCCACTCCCCTGTCATCATCATCAGTATCCCACAGCTTGGGGGTTCTTTATCTAGAATATATGGGGTAGGATACTCTTCAAACGCTGCTATTTATGGCATAAACATTCCAAAGCCCATAATCTTCAAACTCCAAACCCCCTTTTTTTTAAAAAAAAAAAAAAACCCTCTATTCTCTCACATGTGTTTCTGAAGTCTGCTTTGAGAGATGAAAAGATTTGACACTCCTTTCTCTTTTTTCTGCACTGTCATCCCCTCCCTGGGGTAGGAAGCAGAAAAAGCCCTGGCTGCTTCTTGAATGGAGGAAAACCTCATAGGAGAACAGAAACTTGTGAAGAAACCATCAGTTAATAACATATTATTACACCACAGTCTAGCTGGGTAGGCTGTCTTTTGAGGAGAAGCAGGACAGAACTGAAATATCTCAGCATTGAAGGCAGAGGCTGACATGATATTGGAGCTGTCTACCAGAGTTCTGGAGAACACGTGCTGTCCACTAGATCTTTCTGAGATGATAGGAATCTTCTAATTCTGTGCTGTTCAACACAGCAACCCCGTAGTCACATGGGGCTATGAAGCCCTTAAAATGTGGCTAGGGTGGTGGAGGAACTAAACTTTATTGCTTTTAACTTTTAAAATTTTTAATTGGAGGATAGTGTTTTTATTTTTTTTTTAAAGATTTATTTATTTTTGGCTGTTTTGGGTCGTTGATGCTGCACGGTCTTTGCTCTGTTGCTGGGAAGCGGGTAACTCCCCTTTGTTGCGCGATGCGTGGTGCAGACTTCTCATTGCGGTGGCGCAGCTCGGACTCTCCGGGCCTCAGGTTTCAGTAGTTGTGACACATGGGCTCAGTAGTTGCAGCTCCCGGGCTCCGGAGCACAGGCTCAATAATTGTGGCAAGAGGGCTTAGTTGTTCTGCAGTATCAGGGATCTTCCCAGATCAGGGATCGAACCTGTGACTCCTGCATTGGCAGGCAGATTCTTTGCCACAGAGCCACCAGGGAAGCCCCAATGTTTTTAAATTATTTTTTAATTTTTAGGCTGCACTAGTTGGCTTGCAGGGATCTTAGTTCCCTGACTGGGTATCGAACTCATGCCTCCTGCAGTGGAAGTACAGATTCTTAACCACTGGACCACCAGGGAAGTCCTGAGGAATTAAATTTTAAATTTTAATTTCAATGGCCATGTGCCGCTGATGACTACTATACTGGACCCTCTAGACATTATGGGAGACAGTGCTACTATTAATAAAAGTCACCCAGTGTCCTCACTGCCTCACTATTATTTATACATATAAAAACATGCTGTGACTTGGTTTTTAAAAGTTCTCAAAATGGAAATAACTTTAGTTTGTAGAAAAATTATATTGACATTATAGGCATAACTCAGTTGGTTAAAAGCAAATAATGCCTTAACTTATTAATTGGCTAGAGCTGCTGACCTAATAAGCTGAGGCTAAATTCACAATTTAATTAAAGATTTCATGTTCATTCAGCCAAGACATGCCTCAAACCATCTTTTGTTCAGCTGGTCAGCAAGATACTTAGAGCCATATGTAGTACATCTTGCGACTATAATCAACCTATGCAAAATGTCCCATTGCAAAAAAGTTCTTTCATTTGTCAGACTAGTAATTCTGCTGTAGGAATAGCATTTTTCTCTATTGCACTCATGCTAATCTTATTTGTAGTAAATGAAGAGGACATAATGTACTATATAGAAATTTAGATGTTACTTGATTGTTGATAATTTAGCAAATAGATCTGTAAGTTTGCTATCTCTCAAGTGGTTTTATTTCTCTATTGGAGATGAGAAAACTGACTTAGAGAGGGTATGTACTTTCTCCCTAAGGATATATAACTGGTATTTGGAGTTCTAATAGATACTCATATCTCTTTGATCCAAAGACCCTCCCACCCAACACACTGCCATACTTGGTAATTGATGATAAAACCTAACTGAAGTCACCATTGTTTTCAAAGGATAAAGGCTGCAGAATGTCATGACCCCTTTTCAAAAGCCAACTGATGCTAATACGCCGCCACCCTGTAGGATGCTGCTGGCCAGCCACAGCTGATGGCTCTTGGTCTTCAGCGCTAGAAGGGACATGAGGCTGGAGTCTAAGTCACACAGGAAAGTGATCCTGGTCAAACTGGAACCCGTGATCATGATGCCACTATCATTTTATTGGCTTCTGGTTACCTACTAGGTTTGTTGAAAAGCAAGCATCACATTTCTGGGATGTATGCTACACCTGGTGCAAAATCTGCCCGACACTCTCACCCCAAGCTTAACCCTGGCCCTCAGTGTTAATCATCTGCAGCTTTATGAGCCATGTTCTTGCAGGCATGTCTTCCTCCTGGGAATTCAGCAGCAATGCCTCACATTCTCTTAAGATACAAACAGGTGGTTGCCAGAAAGAAGGAGGGTGGGAGGCAGAGGGCAAAAGAGGTGAAGGGGATTAAGAGGCACAAATCTCCAGTTATATGCCAGTTGTTCAGTTGCTCAGTCCTGTTGCACTCTTTGCAACATAAGGGATATGCTCAGTAACATTGTAATAGCTTTGTGTGGGGACAGTTGGTTACTAATTTATGGTGGTGATCTTTTAATAATGAATGCAAATGTCAAATCATCATGTAAAACACCTGAAGTATTAGTCCCTTAGTCCTGTCTGACTCCTTGCGGCCCTGTAGCCCGCCAGGCACCTCTGTCCATGGAATTCTCCAGGCAAGAATACTGGAGTGGGTAGCCATTCCCTTCTCCAAGGAATTTTCCCAACCCAGAGACTGAACCCAGGTCTCGTGCATTGCAGGCAGATTCTTTACCCTCTGAGCCACCAGGGAAGCCCAGTACACCTGAAACTGACATGATATTGTACATGCCCTGTATTTCATTAAAAAGAAAAAAAAAAAAAGGCAATGGATGCTCCTTATTTGCTGTTCTATTCTCGGTTCCACTTTGCTATTTCTAAAGCAGGAAAACCTTTCCCTCCCTAGAACGCTGAAGTGCAGAGACGCTGGCCCCACGTGGACACCCGGGACCGTGGCAAGGTGGGCGCCGGACACGGAACTACAGGCCCCAGAATGCACGGCGCCCTCCGCACAGGCGCAGCGGGGACACCCCCGCCCCCCCCCCACCTCCCCGGGCCAGCCGGTCAGCGGCCAGCCTGCGGAGACCCGGGTCCCGCGCCGTAGCGGGGCTGGGGGCAGTGGCCGGGGCGGACCCGGCGGCGGCGCCCAGGGCGGCCCGGGCGTGGCCATGAGGGCTCCGCGGCTGCACGAGGAGTAGGCGGTGGAGCCCCCGGGAGGGAGCCGCGCGCTGGCCAGACGGCTCGGGAGGCTCCGCAGTGCCGCCGCCCGGGAGGCTCGGCGCGGGAGCCATGTAACCCTGCGGCGGGCTCCGGGCTGCTCCGTCCTCCCCAGCTCCGGGCTAGCGCGCCAGCGGGGCCACGATGAAGAAGCAGTTCAACCGCATGCGCCAGCTGGCCAACCAGACGGTGGGCAGGTAGGTCACCCGCACCCGCGGGCCGGGCGCGCGGCGGGGCTGTGTCCCCCCGCACGCGCAGGTAGGTGATGGAGCGGGCGCGCCGGCCCCCGCGGGTCCTCTCCCCTAGCTCTGGGCGCCGCTCGCGGGCGCGACCCCCCCTCCCCGAACTTCTCTCGGACCCCGGAGCCATTCTGGGGCTCAGCCCGCCGCTCCGGGGCTCCGGTTGCCAAGCGCGAGGAATGACGCATCCTTTACCTGCGTCCCCAGCTGCCCCTTCACCTCGCCCTCCCTGTACGCCCCCCCACCCCCACCCCCACCCCGGGACTCCCTTCTCCCTCTGGCACCAGAGCGTCCTGGAAACAGGTGTTCGCTCTGATCGTGCTGGAGGCCGCCGACCCGCGGTAGCTCTTCGAAGATGCATGCCCCTCCTGCTCCGAGTTCGGGGCTCCTCGGGGGGTCCGGGGGCGCGGGGGGGGCGGGAGGTGCGTGTTGGGCCTGGTGGGTCGGCTTGACAGAGCTGAGCCTGCCCCTCCGGGGGCTCTGGCTGGGCGAGATGCTGAATCTCTTTTCCCGGCCGGGTTTGTCGAGGTGTTAGGTGGCGGGGAGAGATCGGTAGGGGTGGAGGCCGCTGCAGGGAAGGTGCTGGTGGAATGGCGCGGCAGTCGCTCGGTCCTGAGACTGATTTCAGTGGCGGGGCGGGGGTTGGGGGGGGGGGGGCGGGCTGGCGGTGAAGGCTGCAAAGGAGGAGGCCCAACTCCTCTGGAAGATGAGATAAGCAGAAAGAAGATCACAGCCAGGTAGGGGAGGCGGGGGACTGGACCCTGGCCCCAGTGTTGGGAAGAACCGGATCCTAGCGCAAGACCCCGCTGCCGGCTGTCATCACCAAAATGGGCTACATCTGGGCTAGTGTCTCCTGGGGCCGCTGTGTGGGGTGCCGGAGTCTATTCCTGTTACATAAGGGTTCCGGTGGGTCTCTTCCCAAGCTCTGCACACAGACTGGTTAGGTAGAGAGGGATTTTCGTGAAACTTCTGTCCCTGGAGAGAGATTTCCGTTGCTTCTGTGGCCAAGGAATTTGGGTGTGCTGTCTTAACGCCGGTGAAAAGCAGAGAACCCAGTCTTGGGTGCCGTTCAAGTAGGAGCTCAATACCTCGAGGGCCCTCCACTAGGTTTACCAAGAAACCTAATACCTTTCTTGGGTGGGAAATGGAGCCCCAACTGGCATCTGGCCAGTCGGGAGTGGGGACCTTCCTGGGGGACACTGAACACCCTTGTAAGCACACTGCCCTAATTACGGTGGGCATTTGAGGGCAGAGGGGTGCGGGCGGCTTGTTAGGCTTCCAGATGGCTCCCAAGCAACCATATCTAAAATGGACTTGGATGCATTTTCCTTTTTCCCAAACACATGTGCTTTCACAGGGGGGAGAATTTATGAATAGCAGAGTCAGATTAGCCCAGATTTCTGGCATGGTATTGCCACAGATAGAGCCTCACGTGGGCTGCCTTTCAGTATGTTGGATGCGGAAACTGTGTTTTCCTGTCTGGGTCATTTAGCAGATGATGGTCCAGTTGACCTGTCTTTAGTGATTGACTTCTGCATCACCCCAGGGGCTGGCATGGGTCTCAGGTCTTCATGCCAGACCAACCACGTGACCGGGGGCCCATAACCTTAGACGTGAATCTCCCTTCTCACTTGGTCTTGAGGTTCCACTTCAGTCATCGAAGCAAAATGTTAGCCAGGTGTTCATGCTTTCTCCCCGGTACCCCTAAAACACAGCTGTATCTTTTCAGGACTTGTTTCAAAGTAAGATTTACTACAAACCTTGGGCATGAAAGCTGGTTTCCAGCCTCATCCATGGATGGAATGACCAAGGGAGAATGGAGGCTGGGTTTCAGAATAGGTACCAGGTGTTCATACTAATTTGAAAACATATTCTTGGAGCTCCAAGCAGCTGGTCACTAAGAGGTACTTTCCACTTGTTTATGGAGACACTGCTGGTTGCTGGCATGTGGATGAATTCTGACTATCAGGTAGTGTGGGGACTAGCCCACTGTTGTGTTAATCACTAGTCTCTATCTGTTTTGATGACATTCTGAGTTGAGTGAACCTTTTAGGGCAAAAACTAGTTTGTATTATTTTGCTGCTGGAAAGCCTCCAGTGGCCTTTCATTGCACTGAGCGCCCCAAATCTTTCCAGGGGCCTACAAGGCCCAGGCAGACTTGACTCCCTCCTGGCCTTTTCATTCTCATTCTGTTCCGCCCACCCCTCCTCCTCCGTGCTCCATCGACGATGGCCTTCCTTGCCCCAAACGCACCAAGCTCATTTCTATCTGGGGATCTTGTTCCAGGTGTTTCCCACTTTCCCTGCTTGGCTGAGGGTCTGCTCTTCCTGCATGCCTCTTCCTCTTCATCCAGGTCTTTGCTCAAAGACCTTTGAGAGGCCATACTCCCCCCCATCTTCTTGTTCATTTTTGTCACAGCACTCATCACTCTTTGAAATGCTCTTCTTTTTCATTTTTTTGACTTCTTACTAGCACAAAACCGTAGAATGCATGGACTGCCATTGTGTGCTCAGTCTGTATAGTGGAATGCCTTCTAGGCAGTTGGTGCTCAGTTCATGGTTGATTAATCCAGTTGACCATGGGGTCCATGCAGGTAAGTAAAAGGGGGCAGCTTTCACTTTCTCTTACGGAGAATGTATCAAGGCATGATCCTAGCACTGCTTCTTGATTTCTTGACTCGGTAGAGGCAGTGGGATTGGATGCTTGGAATTTAGGTGTGAGGTTGGTGGACCACCAAGTGATGCTTTAACAAGCCACTGGATGCTTGCCCCGTGCCTTTGAAAGGATGACATTCTTGTCTTTGAGGGAGGGCTAAGAGATGGGCTGGAGGGTGGTTCTATTGGCATCTAACCCGGCTTGCCTTCTGTAAGTTGTAGGTTCTGGATGTCTTCTGAATATAAAACTGCCAGGGATTAGATCCAGTCTCCTTAACAACGAGGAAATGCTGAACTTACACATACCTTATGGAGTTAGCAGTATTTTCTCTTGAAGTGAGTACTTCTCCATAGAGAGGGTGCCAGCAACTGGGAGAAGTTTCAAGCCCACTGCAGTTAACTAGGAAAAGTGTCGTCTCCTCCTTGGTTTGCTTCTCCCATCTGTGCACACATTCCTTCTCCTCTCTGTTCACTTCACCTCCCAAAAGATTTTGGGAAGCATCTCTTGACTTTCCAGACTATACCACCAAGTGCCTGGTGGTTCCAGGTAGCACTGGCTTTGGAGTGGGATGGATCTGGCTGGTTGGTTACTGACTACAGGATCTTGAGCTGGGCTCTGCTCCTTAGTTTCCTCATCTGCAAAATGGGCATAATAAGTGTTGTGCTGAGGTCATGTAATAAGGAAGGACCTTTTGTATTCTATGACAAGTTCATCACTAAAGGGATATTGTCTATAAGCATAAATTACACATAATGGCCCATCTCTGGGAGTCCTGCCCCCCAGGTCATGAACGTAAAGCCAAAATACCTTTGTTTAGCTTCCAGGAAACTTCCTGATCAGGCCCACCTGTGAATGACTGCAGGGAGGAAGAAATTAACACATCTCCTCTGGAAGCTAACCCAAAGCAAGAAATGTTTGACTTTACTGTCCCCCCCCCCCTTTTTTTTTTAAAGTATTAATGTAAAAGAAGCCTGAATTCTAACTCAGGCAAGATGGTTCTTTGGGACACGAGTTCACCATCTTCTTGGTTTGCTGGCTTTCCGAATAAAGTCACTGTTGCTTGCTCCAACAGCTCATCTTTCGATTTATTGGCCTCTTGTGTGGCGAGCAGTACAAGATTGGACTGACTACCAGTGATGCAGTGATTGTGGCAATGAGGTCATGGGATTACCCCCAGAAAGCACCCAAAACCATGCTCAGCCAGGGCATGCTTCATGAATAGTAGCCACAAGTACCTTTGGGCAGATGCTATTCCTGGCTTGTATGCTCATTCTTTCATTCATCCAGTAAATGCTTATTGGATGCCTGCTATTTGCCGGGTTCTGTGCTGGTTCATGAACTGTTGCCATGCAGAGTAAGCAAAACCCGTTTCTCTTGTGTACTGTAATTTTTATCTTGTCTCGTTTACCTTTCCCAGTAGACTTTAAGCTCCTTGCAGGCAGGGACAGCTGTCCTGATGCCTGGCATATAGTTGGTTCTCTGAGATTCTTTGGCAACTGAATACATAAATGAGCGAGAGAGTCAAGGATGCAAGAGGCTCTCTGCTTTTGGGATGGTGATGGGGTACCGATGCGTGAGCACAGCTGAAAGACATGGAGTATTTTTTTCTGCAAATGGAATGTGGTTTGTGTTGGGTGGAAATAGAGCCCTGAACTAAGATTTAGACACCTGCTAGGTGACCCAGAAAATAGAAGTAAAACTGCCCTTCCTGGTGGCTCAGACGGAAGAAGCTGCCTGCAGTGCAGGAAACCTGGGTTTGATCCCTGGGTCAGGAAGATCCCCATGGAGAAGAGAATGGCTACCCACTCCACTATTCTTGCCTGGAGAATTCCATGAACAGAGGATCCTGGCAGGCTATAGTCCATGGGGTCACAAAAGTGTCGGACACAACTGAGCGACTAACACAGTAGGTGACTGAGAAAATGGAGGTAAAACTGGCCCCTTGACTTGGTGAGGAGGAGGTTTCTTCAGTCTCCAGTGAGGGGTGGTGGATATCATAGCAGCCCCTGCCTTAGATGTCTATTAAGAGTTAACGGGAGCCTGGCTTATATCGAGTACCCAGGAAATGGTTGGTGAGGCTCCTTGTGCCCATTCAGTCCTCTGAAAACACTGGCTTCCCAGTGTAAAGGGCTTCTCAGACACCCACAGCCACTGGCCAGTGGTGGCTGTCAATGGGCTCT